GGAGAAAACATTTGCAAACCATATATCTAATAAGGATCTCTTACCCAAAAAAATATTTTTTTAAAAAATCTTTACAACTCAACAATAAAAAGACAAATAACCCAATTTAAAAATGGGCAAAAAAATCTGAATAGACAGTTCTTCAAAGAAGATACTTAAATGGCCGCTATACACATGAAAAGGTTCAGCTCCCTTACATTAAAGAGAAAATGATATTATCAGTGCCTTTGTAGGCCTGGGATTTCAACCTGTGGCTGTTAACAAAAACAAGAAGCCATATGTGTCATTGTCCCAGCAGATGGCATCACCTCGTCCAAGCAATAGTATGCTTAGCAGCAGCAGTGGGACCAATGGAAATGATCAGCTGAGCAAAATCAACTTCTAAATCCAGGGATTGCAACTAAGCACTACTGACCAAGACCCTGTCAAATTGTGCCAGTCATATGGGAAGATTCTCACCACCAAGGTCATACTGGACAAGAGCAGGAAGAAATAAATGCAAAGGCTATGGCTTTGTGGACTTTGACAGTCCTTCAGCAGCATAGAAAGCTGTAACAGCTCTGAAAGCCAGTGGTGTACAGGCACAGATGACAAAGCAACAGGAGCAGGACCCCACAAATTTATAAATATCAAACCTTCCACTATCAATGGATAAGCAAAAACTGAAGGGGATGCTGAAGGCCTTTGGCCAGGTTGTCTCCACTCAAATCTTCTGAGATACCAGTGGGACCAGCAGAGGGGTTGGCTTTGAAAGGATGGAGTCCGCAAAGAAGTATGAAGCCACTTTAATGGAAAGTATACTAAGACACCTTCTGGGGTCACCTATGTGGCTCAGTCAATTGGGCTTCTGCCTTCAGCTCAGGTCATGATCCCAGGGTATAAGGATTAAGCCCCATGTTGGGCTCAGTGAGGAGCCTGATTCTCTCTCTCCCTGTGCCCCTTCCCCTTGCTCATGCACACATGCTCTCTCTGTCTCTTTCTCTGTCTAATAAATAAATACAATCTTAAAAAAAAAAAAAAGACATCTGCTGGAGTACCAGCTCCATTTGATCCCTTGCTTTGCAAATTTGCTGATGGTGGTCCAAAGAAACGACAGAACCAAGGAAAATATGTGCAAAACTGATGAGTCTGGCCAAGGAATAGCCTTGACCTATGACCCCACCACAGCTCTTCAGGATGGGTTTTACCCAGCTCCTTATAACATCATTCCCAACAGGAAGCTTGCTCAGTCTGCAGAGTCCCCATATCTTCCATCTTCCGTGTCTTCGTGTCAGAAACTAACTCAGACATCTCCTCTACAAGTACTCATCCCATCTTGGATGCACCACTAATCATACTTCATACAGCCTTCAGGTTCAGTTCTTCCACTAGGGATGGGTCACCCCATTTCTCTCCAGCCTGCCTCCATGATGGGACCTCTTACCTAGCAGATAGCCACCTCTCCCTCAGAAGTACAGGCCCTACATGCCTAGGGCTGCCACTATGCAGGAACTCACATCTCCCAAGACACCTCTATGCTTTTTCCCGTGTTTCAGCTGAGAATGGCAGCCAGCAACAGCAAGTGAGATGGATGCTCCCTCAGACCACGGAGGTCTACTCTTTCCTGTTCAACAAGTAACAGTGTGGTCTGTAACTGAACTCACAATGTCTCTGAGGTATGCTGGTACAAATAAATTATTGGAGATGCTGATGCTCCCAGACTTTAGAGGTCTAACCAGGAATACAGACCATCTGTGGGTCCTGCTTAGCACTAACACTTGGCCTGGGCCTGGAAAAAGGAATCTCTGCACTCCTAACCTCTACTTATTCCTTCATTCCTGAGGGAGCCTAGGAAAATGGTCACTTTTTGTGTGTGCTACATTCAAGGAGATTAAAAGAACTTTTTTTTCTTTCTTTTGCCAAAATTTTTATATTTTGTTTTTAACTGCAGTATACTCTTCCCATATCCCCCCCAAACAAAAACAAAAACACATGAAAAGATCCCGAACATCATTAGTTGTGAAGGAAATGCAAAGTAAAAGACCAAAATGAGATACATCTTCACCCTCTTCAGGTTCGCTTCACCCAAAAATCGGGGAAATAGCATTGTTGGCCAGGGTGTGGAGAGGCTGGAACCCTCCCTCTCTGCTGCTGAGGGTGTTATACATGGTGCAGCCACTGTGGAAACAGTCTAGCAGTTCCTCAAAAAGTTAAACGTAGAATTAACATATGACCCAGCAATTCTACTCCTGGGCATATACCCAAAGGAACTGGAAATAGCCAACTGTTCCTCAGAAAAGTAAACATAGAGTGACTATGTGACCCAGCAATTCCACTTCGAGGTACATGCCCCCAAAATGAAAACATGTACTCACAAAAACTTGTACGTGACTGACTGTTCATAGCAGCTTCCTCCATAAGATCTGAAAGGTGGAAGCAGCCCAAATGCCCATAACTCATGAGTGGGTGGGTAATGTGTGTATGGAATGGATAAATTATATCTATACAATGAAATATTGTATAGCTGAGAAAAGGGGGAAATGCTGATACACCCTTTAACAAGGATGGACCCTGAAAACATTATGCCAAGTGAAAGAAGCCAGACACAGAAGACCAAATATTATATGATGTCATTTATATGAAATACCCAGAACAGGCATATCTATAGAAGCAAAATGATTTAGTGTTTACTTAGATTTGGTGGTCGCTGGGAGAATAGAGCCGTAATAGCTAAGGGGTGAGGAGTTTCTCTTTGAGATGATGAGTGTTCTAAAATTCCTGTGGTGACAGTTGCCCATATCTGAGAATATATCAAAAACCATTGAAATGTACAGTTGAAATTGGCGAGTTACAAGGCACATGAATTATATTTCAATAACGTGTTATAAAAAGAAAAGCAATAAGACATTAAGTTGAAAACAATAATGCTTCTATAGATATGCCTGTTCTGGATATGTCATATAAATGACATCACATAATATTTAATAAACTTACTCAGTAGCTTCTATTTTCATACGTTTTTATAAAATTACTCAGTAACTTACCTTCTTTGTTCAACATTACATCCTTGTCATTGGACCGATAAATAGACCTCTGTTGATGCTGCTCTTTTTAAATACTATTATAGTATTGACTATTTCATGCTAGAATGTACTGTAATTTTTTTTGCCATCCTCCTTATCAGAGGATGTTTGTTTTGTTTCTAGTTCTTTTACTTTTACTAACAATGCTGCAATAAATATCCTTGTACATTAAAGATAACTTATTTTATAAAGAACTGAATCTGTAAAGACACCAAGATTGCTTGGTAAGGAGAATCACAGTGTCCTTTCCAGAGAATTTGTGAGAGAAGTATTTTCCATATATCTGGTGACATTTAGATTCAGTCTTCTAAAGTGATAGATAGGATGGATGGCCTTGGTGTGAATCGTTGAGTTTCCTTCCTGATATATACATTATTCAGCAAGACATTTCTGCCCCCATTCCTCTACTACCTTCCCATTGGGGTAACTGCTCACTGTCATTTAACTGTTCAAAAGCGTTCCCTTTGGTGAAATGAGGTAAGTATATACTTTCATTTCCACACTGTGGGATTTAATTAGCTAATGATGGAGAAATCCTTGCATGAAGAGTGCAGTGGAAGTTCAAAGTAATATTGTTATTATGTTTAAGTATATTTTCAATTTATAAAGTCATATATTTTCATTCATATGGTCAGATATATGACTCTGGGCAAGCGTTACTTCCAGGGGGAAAAAATAAAAGCCAACTCTTCAGAGATCCAGCACAAAGATATATTTTCCTGTGATCTTCAAGTGGTGCCTGTGTTTGTGACCTCTCTCAACTCAACATTAATGGTAATGGCCTCAATTTGTGCCCCTACAGAATGTAATCTATTTAATTAAAGTTCCAAAAATGACCCTGACTTTCAGTCCTGCTCTGGCTGGTGATAGAGCTGTGCTGGATGTGTCCTGGATCTGTAAATAAAATACTGATTCTTGTCACTTCTACAGAATGCATTTTGAAACTGGGGGCTTTTTCAGTGCTGGCCCCATTAAGTTACGTATCTCTAAGGGAAAGCAGGGTAACAGTTAAGGCAAAAAGGCAGTCCACAGCTAACACTGGTAATTTCTTTAAAAAAAATGCTTTGGCCCTCTCCTAATTTGTGAAGGTAACCTTACACAGCAATCAGACAGATTAAACACCATGTCATGTTGACTCTGAAATGAAGACAGAAGTCTTGGAATTCTAAAGAACATCTTCTCATGCAGCACGTCTCTACAATCGATACACTCTACTGATAGTATTTTAGGACACCTGAGATGGCTAGGACAGACTGGGTCTCAAAGGGACCTTTGGCTGACCACTTGAGGACTTTTCCATCTTGGCTTTTCCACGGGAATTGACCCATGTTATCTGCTTAGTAAGTATTCTGATTGAAAAATGAATGTACTTCCAGATGACACTTAAAATCATGGTACTGGTAGTTTATTCTGACCATAATTTTTTTATTTACTTATTTATTTATATTATATATATATTTTTTATTGAAGTTCGATTTGCCAACATATATTGTAACACCCAGTGCTCATCCCATCAAGTGCCCTCCTCAGTCCCGTCACCCAGTTACCCCATCCCCCCACCCACCATGACCATAATTTGTTAATCACAAGTGTTTCCCTGCTCTGGGAATTCATATGTTTTGTCTGTTGTTCTGATGTGCACGTGGTTGGCAGAGTAATAGTTCCCCCAAAAGATGTCCACAGCCTAATCCCCAGAACCTATGACTCTCTTTCTTTCATGGCAAAGGAGAATTAAAGTTGCAGATGGAATTAAGGTTGCTAATCAGCTGAGTTTAAAATGGGGAGATTAACTACCTGAGTGGGCTCAGTGTAATAATCATAAGGGGCTTTAAAGGTAGGAAAAAAAAGACAAAAAAAGGAGGTCACAGTGAGGCAGTGTGAGTTTTACTTGCTGTCACTGGCATTGAAGACTAGGAGAAAGAGGCTATGGAATGCTGGCAGCTCCAGAACTGGGAAAAGGCAAGAAATGGATTTTCTTCTAGAGTCTGCAGACAGGACATAATCCTGCAGACAGCTTGATTTTAGCCCAGGGAGACTCTTGTCAGACTTCTGACCTGCAAGCTGTGAAATAAAAAACTTTTGTTGTTTTAAGCCAGCAAGTTCATGGTCATTACAGCAGCACACAGAAAATATACAGTTCCGTTTTTCTTGTTGACTCACTAGAGTTCCTTGTATATTCTAGTTTCTGACCCATGCTTTACTTTTCCATATTAAAAGTATCTTCTTACTTTTTAATTTGTCACTTTTTCTATGGTGTCCTTCATTCAACAAAAATCCTTACTATTGTGGAGTCAAATCTCTCATTTTTAGCTCTCATGAATGGTATTTTTTTTTTGTATTTTATTTAAAACCCTTGCAGGGCACGTGGGTGGCTCAGTCAGTTAAGCATCTGACTCTGGGTTTTAGCCCAGGTCATGGCCTCAGGGTTGTGAGAACGAGCCCTGTGTCGGGTACCACACTCAGCAGGGAGTCTGTGAGATTCTCTCTCTCCCTCTTCTCCAGTCTTTCTCTCACTTTCTCTCTCAAATAAATAAAAATTTTAAAATGCTTTATCTCCATCAAGTTCCAAAACATATTCCTTTCCTTGTTTTGTTAGTGTTATGGCTTAGCTTTTTCCATTTGGGCTTCTCATTCACAGAGAACTTTATCTTTCATATGGTGTAAAGTAGCTTTCTATTGGTTAGGATACTGGCTCAGCTACTTTAACAGAGTCCAAACTATCTGTGGCTTAGGAAAGACAGACATTTATTTCTCTCTACTAAAGGTCAAGACATCAGCAGACAATCAGATGTGTAGGACCTCAACGTGTGCCCTCCATTTCAGAGTCCAAGTGGCCATTCTAGTATATGTTTTATCTCAAAAGACAAGGAATGTTTTCCTTCTCACTCACTTTCTGATAAATGTATCCAAAGACAGAAAGTTATATTATGTTCTGCTTTAGGGTTGTCTCCAATTTTTTTTGCTTTACGTACTTTAAATGTCATTTATTCCTGAGTATCTTATAAGTTGCTGGAGGATTTCTATTAATCCTCTAAGTAGAGGATTATCAGTTTTTCCTGTATTTCATTACATTGCCTGCCATAGAACCATGGTTTTTGTCTTTTGTCTTTCAATGTTGTGTCATGGTATAATATTTTGGAAAGAATCTATTTATTAATTAATGATCCAAATATTAGTTTAAATTTCACTGATACCGTGAAATGGTATCGATGGAAATAATTAAGCTAATCTGATAGATACATGGAGTCTTCAAAATATGACTGCATTGATACATGGGTAAGTGATGAGACTCCTTTTTTAATTGACAGTAGGCAAGTTTCTTCTGATGCTTATTTTTGAGACTCATTTTAAGAACATAAATGCAATAACAATAGTAGTAAATAAGAGAAAACTAAGCAATTTTTACACTTTTCCACTAAAATCTACCACAAAACTAAATTATGTTCCTTAGCACCACAGACTATAAGCAAATATCTAGGAGAAGAGGAAAGTGGGAGAAGCACAGAAAAAAAACTGTGACTGTATGAGTTAAAAAGGGAGGAAGAACTTGAGTAGGCATTTCTCCAAGCAGAAATACAAATGGCAAATAAGCACATGAAAAGATGCTCAAAAAACTGATCAATTAGGGAAATTCGAGTTGAAACCACAATGATATGTCTCCTCAAACCCATTATGATGGCCATTTTCAAAAACAAAACAGGGGTACCTGGGTGGCTCAGTCAGTTAAGCATCTACCTTTGGCTCAGGTCATGATTCCAGGATCCTGGGATCCAGGCCCCGCATTGGGCTCCCTGCTCATCGAGGAATCTGCTTCTCCCTCTCTGTCTGCCCCTCCTCCTGCTTGTGTACTCTCTCTTTCTCTGTCAAATAAATAAAATCATTAAAACAAAACAAAGCAAAAGCGCAGAAAATAACAAGCTTTGGCAAAATGTAGAGAAATTGGAAGCCTTGTACATTGTTTGGTGGGACTGCAAAATGGTACAGAAAACATATGGCCATTCCTCAAAAAATTAGACATTCAATTACCAATTCTGCTTCTGGACACATACCCCAAATAAAAAGCTAGAGCTCAAATAGATATTTGTACACACTTGTTCATCCCAACATTATTCAAATAGCCAAATGCAGAAGCAACCCAAAGGTCCATGAATGGATGAGTGAGATGAACAAAATGTGGCTCATATCTACAATGAAAAAGTATTTATCCCTGAAAAGAAATGGAATTCTAACACGTGGCTGGCTGACACTTGAGGATATTATATGTAAACTAAAGCAGAGACAGAATGAACACTGTATGACTCCACTTATAAGAGCTATCAAATTTACAGAGGCAGAAAGCAGAATGGTGGTTGCCAGGAGCTGGGGGAAGGAGCAGTTCTGTTGAATGGGTACAGAGCTTCAAATTAGGAAGATGATAAAGTTCTGCGGGCCGGGTAGTATGATGATTGGACAACAATATGAATGTGCTCATGCCACTGAGCTACACACTTAAAAACTATTAACTCGGTATACTTTATTAATGTATAATTTACTACAGTTTTAAAGATAAATTTTTAAAAAGAGAGATAAGTTGGAAAAGTGAGAAGAAATGGCCAATGATAGGATCCTATCATGTCTCACACGGTTTCATGATCTTGTCCAAAGGTGACCCTTTACAGTTAAGTAATAAGAAATGAGGCATGAGGACATATCAGTGCAGAGGGACATCCAACCCACATCAGGAACGTGGAAGGGGAGATTGGAATTGCAGAATGTAACACTTCAAAATGAATTTAGATACTGAGTTCATGGTTTAGTTTGTTTGCTTATTCATGTTTTATTTTAAGCCAGTGGCCACAGGTCTCCAGAGTGCCACTCAATCCCTAGCTTTTTTATAATTTTTGTTTAACTCCCACATGTGAAAGTCCATGGCTTTCATTGGATCCCAAAGCATTCTCTGAACCCCCAGAAACTAAAGAAATGGATCCAGTTCACGCTCACCTTTCTCAGATGAGGAAACTGACAGTAGAAGAAACATGGCTTCAAGCCCAAGGTAACAGAGATAGTTACAGTAGATCCTGCTTCTCCTTTTCACAGAGGCATTTTGAGTTTCAAGTGACTTCCCCTTTGAGAGTGTTTCCATTTTTAAGAGAGCTCTGCTTGGAACTAGCTGTCCTCAGAACAAAGGAATGGCTTATAGGGCAACTGGCTCTGCTGGTCCTGCCTTTCGTGATTCCAGTGGGTGTCCTTTCCCGAGGGAGGGAGGGATGAGGGAGACCAAAATAGAAGCAGAGGAAGGGTACAGCCATGGGGGGCAGGGGGCAGGTGCTGGCTGTAACTTTTTGGATGGCCTTGGGTTTAAATGACTCCCCTGAGAAGGTGACAGGAACTAGAACCATTGTACTCATATCACAGAAGGATCTAGCTGCAGGGCTGGGCACAGCACAGTCCAGCTACCCCAGGGAGGACGGAGAGTGATTTGCAGCAGGAACCTTCCCAGAACAAAAGGAGAAGGAAGAAATTTGGGCTTAGCCCAATGACTACAAATACCAAACAGGCAGTCTAATAAGGCATCAAGGCGGCCAAAGAAATTTAAGCCCTCTTCTTGGCGGGAACCAGCTCTGTGTTAGTAATAAGATCCTTTCTCAGGAAAGCAGGTGCTTTGTAGACAACTGGTCTTAATGAGCACACATCAATAGGTTTGGCTGAAAACCTCACAATACCAAAGAAAAGAATAGTTCAATCAAAGAATGAAGGTGCCATAACGGCTCAGCAAATGAAAGCACACTGCCCAGAAGCTTTGCACTCTTGTACTAAGTCTCAAAAATGTTGTGCCAGGTGACACAATGCTCAAAAGAAGTGTTAGTTAAATTAGTAGAGTAGAATTATCAACTAATTAAATGGTGGGGCACAGTCTTTCTAGCACAAGGCAGTAGTCAGCAGCAGAGCCTATTCCAATTAGCTAGAAAGAAATGGCATTCATGGAAGGAGGAAGGTGGCAGCTCAGTCTCCCATATGTTTCGACTCTCCACAGTGTCAGTTCAGAGGATCCACTTAGTGATGGGGAGAGACATGTTTTACAAATGTGGAAGATTCCAGCAACAGCTCTTTTTACTATACATGACTATTAATCTTCCTCTTTCAGGCAATGTAGACAGCAAATACAAGACATGCTGCTTTGTTTTTTCTTATAACTGTGAAATGAGCATGCAGAAGGTCTGAGGCATAAGAATGAGACTGTTCTGACAATCACCTGTCAATTTGAATTATTTACCCAAGGAGAAATAAAAATTGTTTTCCTGTGATGTCAAATGTACAGTTTTCTGCCATTATCATTTTTTAATTATATACTGACTAGGGGCAGCCCGGGTGGCTCAGCGGTTTAGCGCCACCTTCAGTCCAGGGCCTGATCCTGGGGACCCGGGATGGAGTCCCTGCATGGAGCCTGCTTCTCCCTCGGCCTGTGTCTCTGCTCTCTCTCCTCTCTCTCTCTCTCTCATGAATAAATAAATAAAATCTTTAAAAAAAATTGTATACTGACTAGTGAGCTATCTGAGGACTGTATATAATAATGTATATCATGAATAAATTTTAATGGGGACTTAAAAAGATATTAAAATCTATATGGCAAAAAAACTGATAAGTAGAATATAGACATGATTTGCATTTAACATCATATAAATGAATATTATATGAGCTGCTTGCATGAGAAGTTGCAAAAAAAATTACATGATTGACCGGTGTCCATTTGACATCAAATACAGCAATTTTATTTTTAACATCATAAGAATAAACATACAATAAGTTCTCAAAGAGGATGCATCATAAATAATCCAATCTGGCTATTTTAACTACCAAAATAATTCAAGGTCTGGATTTTTAAAAATCATATATTCAGAGTTTTCACAGTAGAAGTAGTCATTGTTGTTAAAGACATGTTTGAAATTATAAAAAGGTGGAAAAAGAAAAATTACGTTGCACTTTTACTTTAGGACTTCTACAGGTGTCTTTGCTTATTTGGGGCACAGAGTCATAGTTTTATAGTGAAAATGATTTGGTATTCTTATTTTTTTCCTTAAATAAAAATCATCTTCCAATGCTATTATGCCCTACTTCCAACAATGACTTCTGTTATTATATATACCATACTTTCTAAATTGCAAGTTAATAGTCACACAACATTCCCACTAATTGTTTATTATTTATAATGTCATCAAAAAATATTTAGGAATCAATTTAACAAAATAAATGTAAGACTTATAGTCTGAAAATTACAAAACACAATTGAAAAAATATTTTTAAGACCTAAATAAACGGAAAGACATCCTGTGTCATGAATTGGAAGACTCCGTATCATTAAGATGGCGATACTCCCAAACTGAGCAATAGATGCAACACAATCCTTCATGAAATCCCGCTGCCCTTTCCACAGAAGTAGACAAAGTTGATCCTAAAGTTCACTGAACAGAAAGGACCACAGACACAATTAAGATGCTAAATCAGATGGTTATTAATTAATTCCAAACACACAGTGAGACACTGTGTGGGGGGAGACAGAATAGTTCAACTTAGCATAGAGTACAAGAGAGGTGAAAGATGATCCTCCCTGATTCTTGAATCTTGGGATTCCCTTGTCTCTCTCTCTCTCTCCTCTTCCTCTTCCTCTTCCTCTTCCTCTTCCTCCTCCCCTCCTCCCCCTCCCTCTATTCCTCCATCCCTCTCCCCACTACCTCCCTCATTCTGTCACAGGTACCAGAGTTGAGGTTGAGAAGTTAAGTCAGAAGTGCCTAGGATCAATAAATAACAAGCACTGGCTCCTTTGGAAGGCAGGGCAAGTACTTCTGGCATCAGCTGTACATGGCCAGCTGGCCTGCTGAAGAGCCATGGTTTTGTCTGCCTTTCTTAACCCAAGCACCATGGGGCCACAATGAGTCCAAATGAGTGGCCAACTTAAGGATGATTAACTGTCAACCCAGAAGTGACAGGATCTATACCTTATGACTTGGCTGCCTCATATTTTTCTTTCCATAAACAAACACTTTTGCTTCTTTCATCTTATTTATCATATATATAATATGTCTTGAATGTTACTAATATATTACCTATATTTAACATATCTGGTGAACTCTGCTCATGTTTTTCAAGCTACTTCTTTACTCATTTTCTATCTTTAGCACATCTTATGAATTTTATCTATAACTCACAAGCTATTAGCTTATATATTAGTTATGCTTAACACGAGTTTCATCCATCCCATCTGTGATGGTTAATTTTATGTGTCAACTTAACTAGGCTAAAGGATGCCCTGATGGCTGGTAAAACATTATACCTGAATGTGTCTGCAAGACTGTCTCTGGAAAAGATGAGCATTTAAGTCTGTTGACTCAGTATAAAAAAGATCCACCATCATCAGTGAGGTGGCATCATTCATTCAATTCCTTGAGGGCCAGAATAGAAATAGAATAGCATAGAAAAGGTAGAGGAAGAGTGGATTTGCTCTCTCTGCTTAGCTGGGACATCCCTCTTCTGCCTTCAGATATCAATACCTGTGCTCCTGGTTCTTGGGCTTTCAGACTCAGACTGAGCCTTACACCCCCCCCCCCCCATTCTCAGACCTTTGGGTCCAGACTGAATTGTATCAGTGGCTTTCCTGGTTCTCCAGCTTTCAGACAGCAGTTTGTAACTACATGAGCCAACTCCTATTGGCTCTGTTTCTCTGGAAAACCCTGACTAATACACCATTTGTCTTTCCGGTCTTCTGTTATGGAATTAAATATTTCATCAATAATACAACAAACTCACATTATAAAGATTGAGAAAAATTACTGGGTTTAGTCAATTTTTAGGGCATTCTCATATTACTCTCTCCTTACAGAATATT